AAATTTCTGGGTGGTAGATTTCCATGCCACCTCAGTTCTCTGAAGAGTTCAAGAAAAGTCATTGATTTTCAGTTTGGCCAGCTTCTTTCTTATTGTAAAAATGGGAGTGATGAATTGATGAATTTCGACATTTTTACCTGCTGAAACCGAAATGGGAAATTGAAAAGTTTCTAAAAACTTCCAAAGGAAAGAAGAAAAATAGTTACATAAAAAGATTAGGAACCAGAATGACATTGGACTTTCTTATAACAATACTGGAAGCTTGGTAATAATAAGTTCATGTTTTCAGAATCACAAGGCAAAATAAATATTGTAAATTCTATACCTGCCAAACTGTCCATTGGGTATGAAGGTATAACAAAAATGTTTTTAGACATTTTTGGCATGCAGGTCTTCAACACATTTTTCCTCCATCATTTTACCCTTTCTGAGAAGACATTATGCTCAAAATGAAATGGAACAAGAAAAAAGAAAACTTGGCTACTCCTATTGTTCATAGTCTTATGCTATGATAATGAAAATTTGGGGGTGGGGATATAGCTTAGTGGTAGAGTGCTTGCCTAGTATGTAGGAGGCCCTGGATTGAATCTGATCACAATATAAACAAATTTTTTTTTAAAAAAAAAGCTTAAAAAATTTAAATCTAAAAAGAAAATGACCTTTCTTTGTGGACTGGTTGAGAGCTACTTGTTTAAAAGATTAACTAAGTCTTCTTAATTGATTCTAGTTTAGAATATGTGGGTACCTGTTAAGAGTGAATAAAAAAGAAACAAATATTTAATGCAAATTATTTTTATTTTTGTATTGCAAGTGATGAATGCTTGTAAACTAGCATTTTAAAGTTGATTTTAAAGAGCCCTACATAAATGTTATACTGTATCGCCAGTAGACACCTTTTTGAAAATGGAATAAGTGAGCTCATTATGAGAAGAAATGCTGTGGCTTTGCTGGGGGGAAAAAAAGACTGACATGCATAGATTCAAAAAGTGCTTAAATTGTGCTCTTGAGTGAATCTGGCATCCAACAATGAAGATTCAAGTGAACAATTAAAATAATTATTTCATGAAATGAGTACCAAAAATAGATGTATTATGAAATTTATATCCTACTCAATTATAAATGTGTATGTGAACAAATGTTCTAACTAAAATAAAAAGAAAATGAATTATCTATCAAACTGTTTCCTAAAAACACCTTTCCTTTTCACTGGGGAGGTGGCAAGAATGAAAGCAAGGTGAACCTGTCATTCCTCAAAAACTGAGACCATGACTTAATCATATCTGCATCCAGCAACTGTCTGCCCAGGGAAGTCCCTCCTCTTCTATCATTTCACCTGTGTTATGATTTTGATATGAGGTGTTCTCCAAGAGCTCCTGTGTTAATGCAGGAATATCCTGAGGTGAGCTGATTAGGTTACACCTAACCAGTCCATCCTACTTTGAATGGACTAATCAAGTGGTTACTATAGGTAAGTGGGCATGACTGGAGGAAGTGGATCACTGGGAACATGCCATGGAAGGGTTCATCTTTCCTATGGACCTTCCCTCTCTCTCATTTTCTCTCTTTCTGTATCCTGCTGTCATGAACTAAGCAAATTTTCTCCACCAGGTCTTTCCCCGAGGGTGTTCTGCCTCCCCTTGGGCCCAGAGCAATAGAGTCAGCTAGCTAACCACAAACTGAACCTCTGAAACTGTGAGCCAAAATAAACTTTTCTTCCTCTAAATTGTTTTTATCAAGCATTTTGGTCACAGTGATGGAAAACCTGACTAATACAACTGTTTCTTTTCTTTGTAGCACTAATGGCTTCCTGGTGTATTCGTGTTTTTTTTTTGTTGTTGTTGTTGTTTATATGTTTAAAGTCTCTCTCTGTCACCAGAACATAAGCCCAATGAAAATAGGAACCTAGTAAGTTGTCTTCTTTACAACCAAATGCTGCCTGAATGCTACTCAATGCTTCCATGTCATAGACATTCAGTAAATATCGAAAAAAAAGAAAATGAATGAGCACTTAATAGAACCATTAAACAATGTGCCATAATTAAATATTCTTCACAAATTTGGAGTTATCTTCTGATCACTGAGAGGATAATTATCTTCATTTTAACAATTCTTGCAAATGATAAGAATTTATGGTTGTCCCTGGTGTTGAAACTTTTCTGTTCACTGACTATGCTCATGGTAATTTTGTAGCTATGAGCAGTCTTCATCCTCTAGGAAATTCTCACATAACCTCAGTTACAAAGAAAACATGGTCCAGTGCAGCTACTGCATGAGGTATAGCTCAATAGGGGAAATAAACCTGATAACTAAATAGCGTTGTGTTCAAAATCACAATGCTTAGTTTACTCAGTTGCCTCAAGAGGATAATTTGTTCTATCATTTTGAAGTCAGAGTATTTCCATTTTCACTTTACTTGAAACCCTTTGATGGTTCCAAACTGACCACAGAAAAGTTTAATATCTTTAGCATGGAATACGAGTCCTTCAGCAGTTGGTCTGGTTTCCTCTCTCCCATAATCTGCTTTCTCCCTCATGAACAAGGTTCCAGCCAAAGCGTACCAGTCCCAGTTTCTTGAAGAAGCCAGGCTGTTTCTTCCTTCGGAGCTTTGCTTACCCGGCATCCTCTGCTTGGGAAGCCCTTCCCTCCTGTCCCACCTGATAGCCCCTATTCATTGGATAAGACTATGAAGTCTTTTCTAGCACCCTTCACAAGGAGAAGTCCTTGGACCATGCCCTCCTTCCAGTGCCACTCTCTACCTCACAGACTTCCTATAGGACTTGGCCCATGGCTACTCCTAAAACTCCATTTCCTACCACTCCTCCCATTTTTTTACCCTACACACTTGGCCTCCTTGCAGATCCTCCAAACTCCCATTCTCATTTTCTGTGAGTGAAAAACAAAACAAAACAAAACATTTCCCTGGTATTTACAGTGTGTTCCCAACTTGATTCAACTCTGATCAAAGGTCACCTCCTCTGAGAGGTTATGTTTAACCACATGAACCAAAGGAATTTCTCCCTTTCTCATTTTTCTCAGTAGTTATCCCCTCCCTATCTCTGTATCCTAGTTTACCTCTTTTTTCATAGTACTGACCTAACATTATATTATATATTGAGTAATATAAGTTCTGTGATTGTGGGTCTTCATTTTGTTTACTGCCATAAATATTTGTGAATGAATGAATAAATGAATGCCACTTGTGGCTCATTATTATATGCTTTGGCTTAAGACTGCTGTCCTTCTCTCCTGGACAGCAGGTGTTATAATCTCTGTATGTAATCTCTTATGCTCTTGGTCTTCATCTTCTTCCTGGTACAGAGTAACTTCTATACTCCTTGTATATTAATAATAATAAAAGAATAATTCCCGACCAGGGAACTCTGAATCTATGTGTACTGCAGAAGCTACATCTCTTTATCTGAAATTCTTAGGTTTAGATACGTTTTCAAAAGTCAGAATCGGGGACTGGAGTTGTGGCTCAGTGGTAGAGTGCTTGCCTAGCATGCGTGAGGCACTGGGTTGGATCCCCAGCACCACATAAAAAAATTAAATAAAGGTATTATGTCCGTCTACAACTAAAAGAAATTTTTTAAAAAGTCAGAATAATTTATTACTTAATACCCCAAAAATGTAGGGTGAGTACCCTATAATCAAATACATTAATGCTCAGCAACAAAACGTGAAAAGTCCCATTACTTGGGATAAATAATGCTCAAATCAGTTTTTGCTACCAAGTTAGTTATCAAGGTAAATTTCTTTAAGTTTGGGATTTTGGAATTGTGAATGAGCATTGAGGATATGTACTGGTGTGTGGAAATCTGTAAAATAGCTCCACACTCAAATTAGCATCAACTTCCTCATCCCAGAAGGTGAGAAATCACTGATTTAATGCACTAGTGTAAAACATCTAAATATTTTTATTACTGCTAACATGAAAAAGCATTTATTGTGTGTTAACCCTTGTCCTCCTTCAATGTGGTTGTAAAACAATTACTTGTCCTATTTTTACAGGTGAGGAAACTAGGGCGGTTTAGCAACTTGCCTACACAGCTAGTAACTGGCCAAGCCGCATCCAAACCATATTATATGATAGCTGTCTCACAATAAAAAGTCACAGTCTGGGCCACCTGATCCACCTGATTTCACACAGCACAAGATGAAAATTCTTAGTTTTGCCAAATTTCTCTGTGGTGTTGACTCTAAGAAAATTTCTGTAATTCAAGTGAAATAGACTGGCTACATGTAGCCAACTGATATTTATATAATGAAATAATGTATTTCCTCAGATAAAACATGTTTTAAATGTTTGTAATGAGAGATCAAGTGATTTTAAATAATCAAAAGTACATATAGTCAGCTGGGCATGATGATCCACGCCTGTATTCCCCGCTAAGGCAGGGGGATTCTAAGTTGGACACCAGCCTCACATCTTAGCAAACTCCTCAACAACTTAGTGAGACCCTGCCTCAAAATAAAAAAATAAAAAGGACTAGAGACGTAGCTCAGTGGTAATGTGTTCCTCGGGTCAGCACCCAGTGCCCAAAACAAAACCAAAGTACATAGAGTCACACTAACTTGCCCTGATTTCCTTTGTAGAACCATGATCTGCAGATCCAAGTTCTGCTGTTTCCTGATAAGAGACCATGAAAGGCACTAATTTTAGATAATATCATTTTCAAGAATACCCACTCTTAGTTGTTTGAATTTTTGTAAGCCAGGTAAGAGCTGATAAAATGTATTTGTGATGAGCAAATTACAAACTCCTTTGGAATTACTGAATACAGCAGAAATAGTTTGGCATTAAGGAGTCAGTCAAGGAGTCAGTCGTATAAGGGGCTACAGCTTCAACTAAAGACACTTTTGGATCTTACCACACTCATTAAAGCCTCAAATTATGAAATGTAGAGCAAAAAAGTACAACACAGAGTCATTTTACAGTACAAAGCAGATAATATGAATATGAAGATTAAGAATTGAAAATGACATATACACTAAAAACATCACAACAGAAATGGGTTTTATTTTAACCAGACAAGTGAATTTTTCAATTAGCATCAACTTCCTCAAGATTTGAAGATATCAAAATTAAAGGTGGCGCTCAAAGGTAGAAAAGGGAACATTATCATGGAGCAACTGCACTGCTCTTCAAAAATCCCTTTCATCGACAGGCTCGACCCAAAAGATCATAAGATCTCATGTGTTCTATGTACAAGACCCTCACTTGAAAGTTACCCATCAGTCTTAAAGGAATCTCTCAAAAAAGAAAAAAAATATATAGAGAGATCAGTATTATAAATTATTTTTTAATTTTAGAAACTGGGGTGAAAGTACAGTTTTCAGTTTAAAATATTAAAAATGAAAAAAATTAACATTATTATTTAAGATGTCTTGTTACAAAGCATCTAGGTACATAAACATACAAAACAGTTATTACTACCTGACATTCAATGCATGACTTCCCCTTCATGTGACAGTTCATCTGCTGGGAAGCTTTTCCCAATAAGTTCCAAACTTCATGCACAAGAATTACATGGATGAAGGCATTTCATCATAGGATAATTCAATTTAATATAACACAGCATAAAATAAATCCAGCGAATCACTATATTTATAAGGGATAAGATAAAATTGCATATCATTTTCAACTTTTGCCAGACTCATTAAATTCATTAACACATTTAAAGTCTTCTCCTCATGGGCACTTTTGAGAGCTTTGGATTGTGTGTTTTAACTTTGTATTGAGTTGGTCAGCACCTTGATTGATATGAACAATTACATTAAAGATAGATTGTGGGTAGGAGAGAGGGAGATCAGAGGATAACAAAAACAGGGGGAGGGACTCATGTTTTTCATAAGACATTCAAACAGAAAGGACAAAAAAAAAAGCATACAAACAAAAAAAGTGTTCACAGTAAAACATGTCAGATTTGTAGTTTCATTTGAAACCAACAGCAAATCATGAAACGTCATGAAAAATATAAGTAAAGGTAAAATCTCCTAGAGTAATTACTAAATGAAGTTAAAATTACCACACCAATCAGTAAACCCCAGAAGAAAAATGAATAGCGCTTACATTTCAGGTCCTTCTAGACACCATACAATTTTTCAAAGTTAATGCATAAAATTGGTGGGTTTGGCCACACTGCACAAATTATTTTTTTTTAAAAAATACAGTATACAGAAAAAACTCTTATATTTCCCATTTTAAATCATAAGCTCAAAACCTAAGAGTCAAAGATCAGCTAGAAGAATTTTAGATTATTTACAAATCCAGCAGGTTCCTCTGCCATAATGGCTTGGCTTCCATCCACAGCGATTTTCTCCTTCTCCAGCAGTACCTTTCAGCTCTCTGTCCTCACAGGAGGCTGTTCCCTCTACTGCTCATTTCTACTGGTCATCGGTCATTTTGAACAGTTCCAACAATGCCCCAACAGCTCCAAAATAACCCTACAAAAATAAAGGAAAACTTCTGTAGGAATGTCTTGGAACCTTAGCCAAAGACCTCTTATTTTTCATAATTCTAGAAATGGTGCCCCTTATAGGAAAGAGAAAATTTTAAAACTGAATTCTTAAGCTGGGGATATAGCTCAGTGACAGATAGTGTGTCTAGCATGTGTAAGGCCATGGGTTCAATCCCCAGTACAGCAAAACGAACAAACATACATGGTGGAATAACAACAGCAACAACAATACATTTATTTGAATGACTACTTGCTTATATATATATATATGTACTATACAGGTTAAATATATAAAGTGTTTAGAAAGATATCTGGCACAAGTTATGTGCTAAGTGCTGGATACTTCTAGTATTATAGCTGTATTTCATTTTAACCTTTGCCATGGCAAAATCTACATTATTATTTCAGATGAGAAAAGAAAGGTAATAAATTACCCTGTCAGGGTTATGCGACTTGTGGAAGGGCTCAACACCCACGTTTATCTGACATCAAATCTGTATCTCATGGAAGAAAACCCTAAATTTCCCTCAGAAAATTTGAGGAAGGCCCTTAAGTCAGCTGCAGCCTCATTTTGCCCATCTGTAAAACGGAAGCCCAAGCTCTGTGAAGATGAAAAGAAACTAAAAACACATTTTAGCAACTTTCATTTTAGCCTATTGAGCTGCTATATATAAAAGTCCCAAAGACAGGGTAGTTCAGAAACAATTCCAATTTATTTCTTAAGACTTCTGGAAGCTGGGAAGTCCATGATCAAGATGTCTGCCGAAATCAAAATCCCAACGGCATTTCTTGTAGAAATAGAGAAAGCAATCATGAAATTCATATGGAAAAATAAAAGACCCAGAATAGCAAAAACAATGCTAAGCAGGAAGTGTGAATCAGGCGGTATAGCGATACCAGACTTCAAACTATACTACAGAGCAATAGTAACAAAAACAGCATGGTACTGGTACCAAAACAGGCGGGTGGACCAATGGTACAGAATAGAGGACCCAGAAACCAATCCACAAAACTACAACTATCTTATATTTGATAAAGGGGCTAAAAGCATGCAATGGCGGAAGGATAGCATCTTCAACAAATGGTGCTGGGAAAACTGGAAATCCATATGCAACAAAATGAAACTGAATCCCTTTCTCTCGCCATGCACAAAAGTGAATTCAAAATGGATCAAGGAGCTTGATATCAAATCAGAGACATGCCGTCTGATAGAAGAAAAAGTTGGCTACGATCTACATACTGTGGGGTCGGGCTCCAAATTCCTCAATAGGACACCCATAGCACAAAAGTTAATAACTAGAATCAACAAATGGGACTTACTCAAACTAAAAAGTTTTTTCTCAGCTAAAGAAACAATAAGAGAGGTAAATAGGGAGCCTACACCCTGGGAACAAATCTTTACTCCTCACACTTCAGATAGAGCCCTAATATCCAGAGTATACAAAGAACTCCAAAAATTAGACAATAAGAGAACAAACAACCCAATCAACAAATGGGCCAAGGACCTGAACAGACACTTCTCAGAGGAGGACATACAGTCAATCAACAAGTACATGAAAAAATGCTCACCATCTCTAGCAGTCAGAGAAATGCAAATCAAAACCACCCTAAGATACCATCTCACTCCAGTAAGATTGGCAGCCATTATGAAGTCAAACAACAACAAGTGCAGGAGAGGATGTGGGGAAAAGGGTACACTTGTACATTGCTGGTGGGACTGCAAATTGGTGCAGCCAATTTGGAAAGCAGTATGGAGATTTCTTGGAAAGCTGGGAATGGAGCCACCATTTGACCCAGCTATTCCCCTTCTCGGTCTATTCCCTAAAGACCTAAAAAGAGCATGCTACAGGGACACTGCTACATCGATGTTCATAGCAGCTCAATTCACAATAGCAAGACTGTGGAACCAACCCAGATGCCCTTCAATAGATGAATGGATTAAAAAAATGTGGCATTTATACACAATGGAGTATTACTCTGCATTAAAAAATGACAAAATCAAAGAATTTGCAGGGAAATGGATGGCATTAGAGCAGATTATGCTAAGTGAAGCTAGCCAATCCCTAAAAAACAAATGCCAAATGTCTTCTTTGATATAAGGAGAGTAACTAAGAACAGAGTAGGGACGAAGAGCATGAGAAGAAGATTAACATTAAACAGAGATGAGAGGTGGGAGGGAAAGGGAGAGAAAAGGGAAATTGCATGGAAATGGAAGGAGACCCTCAGGGTTATACAAAAGAACATACAAGAGGAAATGAGGGGAAAGGGAAAAATAATACAAGGGGGAGAAATGAAGGACAGTAGAGGGGGCAGAGAGAGAAGAGGGGAGGGGAGGGGAGGGGAGGGGAGGGGAGGGTGGATAGTAGAGGATAGGAAAGGCAGCAGAATACAACAGACACTAGTATGGCAATATGTAAATCAATGGATGTGTATTTGATGTGATTCTGCAATCTGTATATGGGCTAAAAATGGGAGTTCATAACCCTTGAAGCAAAGTGTGAAATATGATATATCAAGAACTATGTAATGTTTTGAACAACCAACAATAAAAAAATAAAAAAAATAAAAAAAATAAAAGATGTCTGGCGAGGGCCAGTTCTTCATAGACTGCTGTCTTTCTCATTGTAACCTCACATGGCCAAAGGTTGCAAGGCCTTTCTTATAAGGATGCTAATCCTATTCATGAGAGCTCAACCCTTATGATCTAACCATTCTCCAAGGCCTACCTCCTAATACCATCCTCTGGAAGATTAGTGTTTTAACAAGTGAATTCGGTTGGGAGGGACAACACACAAATATTCAGTTTGGGTTGTTTTACAAAAGTCTGGAGACTTCACCCTCTGGCATTTACCAGACTCTGCATTTACTGCTGAGATAGGTGCAAAGGTATCAGGACATGTCAGGGCCTTTGCTGCTGCTGCTTCCAGCTAAGTTTGATTGAGCCCTCACTAGGCACTAGAAATTATTCTAAGCATGTGAGGTGGATGTACTCATTCAGTCATCACAATAACTCTATGAGACAAATATTATTGTTTCATTTTGCAAATGTTAAAACAGAGGGAGAGATATCATAATCTAAGATCTCACAGTCAATAAAAGTTGTGCTCTGAACTGCTAGCTATACTACTTAAAGGATGTTCTACCATAACATTAGTTGAATGAAAGAGAAATTGAGTGAGTAAGGTCTCCTAACAGCAGGGCAAGTGACTAGAAAGCCACCAACTAAATCAGAGTCTCCCAAAAGTTGTCCCTCCATAATAGTTTCTGGTAAGGCTTGTCTAATCCAGAGTGAACTTAAGAATGTAGAAATTTTTCTAAGGAACACTTTTAAGCAGTTCACTAGCTGGAGAGTCTGAGTTATGATAAATGGTAATAAATCAAATCCACCATCCACAATGGTTTAGGATGGTTCAATGATACTGGTGACTGACTACATGAATTGAATGACTACTATAGAATTGAATTTTCCTAAAACGTTGGATCTGTTTTCTATCTTGCCACCAACTACCCGTTTGACCTTGGAGATGACTTCTTGTCCCTGCCAGCTTCTATGTCTTGTTCTCTACATTAAGGCAAGAAGATCTGGACATAAAGTTGCCAAATAAAGTACAGTTAAATGCCAGATAAAATAATCAAGCATCCTGCATTTTTTAGGGCTAAATACGGCAACTGTATTAGAGCAGAACAGTAGTTTTCTTTATTTTCCTTTAAATTATGTTTTTTAAAAGCTGTGATGCTTCTCTATTTTTCAAACAAAACCTTACATCATGAAAACTTCATAAATAAGCAGAATCATAGAGTTGTTCTCTTTGGGGGGATGAAGGAATGAAGGTTCTGGGATCTTATTCTCCTTCAACCAAAACAAGCTACATAACTGGGTTTTAATCCTGCTGGAAGAAAGAAAGAAGGAAGGAAGGAAAGGACTTTCAGTATTAATTTCTATCATGGGAACCTATTCATATTTAAGTTCTTACTGTTGTATATACATTAAGAAAACAAAATATGGATGTAAAGATCTCTAAATAACTTCTAAATTTACCAGTAGCTTCTCAAATAAATAATTCAGTTTGGAAGATAAGAAAATGCCATTCATTACAACTGAAATTTACAATACTAGTTCTCAATATTTTTCTGCAGCAATATGCACAAGAGATTAGGTACTGCTTGTGATGAATACTAGCTCTATACAGCACTGGTTTTTAAAGGGGGATAGAACCAATGGGGAAAAGAAAAGAGGGCCCCCCACTTGATCTATGTTATGTAGAAATGCCCTTATCAAAGATGCCTTGTATTAACTGGTGCTGTTTCTCATGTTAACAAGGTCACTATCAGCCAGATGCGCTCACCTCTCAAGGCTGGTAGGCTCCTCTTAGTAGCCCAAGAATATCTGTTCTCACCAGTGAAGCTGCTTACTTGCCAAGAATCAGCTGTGTTTATCTCACAGTTGTTTTTAAGAGTTTCATTGTTTAGGTAACAATCTAATTATGAACATATAAACCAATAAAGTGCAAAATGATGATCAGTTTTATGAAAATTCAGCAAAGCTGAAAAAGGTAGTCACAAGCCATTGCTCTTTACTTAGGCGGATGCCACAACATGAAAGAGGAAAAAAACTAGAAGGATTCTACAACTGAACTGCTCCATAAGTATCTTTCTCGATCCACTTAAAAGAAACAAACTGAAAATCCAAGAAGTTACATACTTACAGAAAACAGTAGTGCCCTAATCACATAAACCATTCTCAAAAATGGAATTTTGGTCCTACACTGAAAGACTGGTAAGTAGATACACATTTATGCATTTTAAAATTAAAATAAAATGATTAGAGTAGGGAGATGCTTTTTTAAATGATAACCTATTTTAACTGACTTTAAAGTTTTTTTAAAACTGGGCATGTTAGTGCACACCTGTAATCCCAGCAACTTTGGAGATCGAAGCAGGAGGATCACAAGTTCTAGGCCAGTCTTGGCAACTTATTAAGCTCCTGTCTCAAAAGTGAAAAGGGCTATAAATGGAGCTCAGTGGTAGAGTGCTCCTGGCCCCAATCCCCACAATAATATAAATAAATAAGTAAGTAAGTAAATAAATAAATAAATTTTATCAGTGATTGACAATTAGTAATTATATATATTTATGGGGTATAAAAGTGATATTATGACTTTTCAATTCAATGGGATGATTAAATCAAACTAACCAACATATCTGTTACCTCAAATACTTAGCCATTTTTTTTTGCAGTGAGAATATCTGAAATTTAGTCTCAAGACAATTTTGAAATACACAGTACATTGTTCACCACACTGTGCAGCAGATCTCAAAAAAGACTTACTTCTCCTATCTGATTTTGTACCCTATGACCATCATTTCCTCATTCTTGCCAACTCCCAGCCTCTGTAACCACCATTCTGCTTTCATGAGTTCAGTTCTTTAAGATTCTACCCATGCCAGGTGTGGTGGCACACGCCTATAATCCCAGCCACTCAGGAGGTTGAAGCAGGAGGATCTTAAGTTCGAGGCCTGCCTCAGCAACTTAGCAAGGGCTTTAGCAACTAAATGAGACACCTTCTATAAATAAAATATAAATCTGCAATCTGTGTATGGGGTGAAGGTGGGAGTTCATAACCCACTAGAATCAAAGTGTGGAATATGATATGTCAAGAAATTTGTAATGTTTTGAACAACCCACAATAAAAAATAAAAAAAAAAAAAAAAAAAAAAAAAAAATAAATAAATAAATAAAATATAAAAAGGGGCTGGGAATGTGGCTCAGTGGTTAAGCACCCCTGGGTTCAATCCTTGTACCAAAAAAAGAAAAAAAGAAGAAGAAAGAAAAAGATTCCACATGTAAGTGAGAACCTGTGACATTTATTTTTCTGAGTTTGACCTATTTCATTTAGCATCTTGTTCTCCAATTTTATTCATGTTGTCACAAATGACAGAATTTCTTTTGTTTTTAAGGCTGAATAGTATTCCATTAGATATCTTATTTTCTTTATCCATTCATGTGTTGCTGATGATGAACACTTAGATTGATTTCATTTCTTAGTTATTGTGAATAATCTGTAATAAACATTGGCAGGTAGACAACTTTTCAATATCCTGATTTCAAATCTCTTTGGGTAAATACCCAGAAGCGGGATTGCTAAGTCCTAGGGTAGTTTCTGAGAAACATCCACAGTTTTCCACAATGGTTATATTAATCTACTTTTCCAGTGGCTTTTTTTTTTTTTTTTTAATTAACCAACTACCAGTCCTAATTATTAGATAAAAAGCTTCCATTTTCTGGCAAGCCTGCATAGTGACACATGCCTGGAACCCCAGCAACTCGGGAGCCTGAGACAAAAGGACCACGAATTTGAGGCCAACTTCAGCAATTTAGCAAGACTCACAATTTACAGAGACCCTGTCTCAAAGTGAAAAATAAAAAAGACTCGGAATGCAGCTCAGTGGTGAAGAGCCTCTGAGTTCAATCCTCAGCATCCTATCCCCTGCCCCCAAACTTTCTGTAGCTCTTTGTTATCCTTTGCATAAATGCAAAGTTTAAATTGGCAACATTCCTACTTGACCAGTTATAAAATGAAGAGACCCACTCATATGTTAGTCAACCTACACTCCATGTAGAACAATTCAGTCTGTGGAAGCTCAACCCACCTCATGTTCCAAAAACAGAGCCTTCAGTTGTCCTTTGGACCAAAAATCCATGGCATATGCTAGCAGCTTCATGGAGACCATATTGATTCTGAGAAAATTCCCAACAAACACAACTCTGTCAATATTCTGGAAAAAAAAAAATTGAAGACAAACAATTGAACCATGGCAGAAAAATACCATCAGCAAAGATCCCAATGTTCTGTATGTCGTTGTACAGAAGCTTGCACAGTGAACCATTTTGGTATCTCTAAAATGAAGCTGAGCAAACCTCACAGTGCACTCCGGAAGGATAGGAGGGGGAGATTTTAGTTGGACAAAGCAGAAACTGACATCAGGGTTGTTTGCAAGTGTTGTTAGATTGTGTTGGGTCTAACATGTGGTTCAGCTCCATATAATTAATATATATCATCATAACTGAAGTTCAAGTTTAGCTAAATTTTCTTGTGCATTTCTTAATTTCCTAAACTTCCAAGTATAAAATATAATTACAACCAACTCACAGAAGAAACGGCTATGGCATGGTAGATTCATCAAATGACTTTTGCTGTTTACTCTAGGCTGAACACTGGGGATATAAGAAGGACACAACACTCCATCTCTGCCCTCAGGATGTGTGGTGGTGGAATATCCTGTTTGGTCCACGTATGGGTTAAAACATGGTAACAAAAACTCCATTTATGGGGCTGGGGTCATGGCTTAGTGGTAGAGTGCTCGTCTAGTGTGTGTGAGAAATTGGGTTCGACACTTAGCACCCCATATAAACAAATGAATTAAATAAAGGTCCATTGACAACCAAAAAATATTTTTAAAAACTCCATTTGTATTTTTTGTTATCATGGATATAGATTTGCATTCTAAACACACACTTAAGAATATTCCTTTCCTCTCCTGTCCATGCAGACATGCTTCAAATCCTGCAAGCTTCCCCTCCAGCTGTACTAGCAGCCCTTCCTACTTTCCCAGGTACTTCTTAAGCTTAAGACTGAGCCCAGCCTGTCTGAATGCAGAGGCTGCTCACCACTCACTCAGAAGAGTGCCAGTTGCTAGGACCACTTACATCAAAAGCAAGAGTCTTTGAAAGTGCCATTATTTTCTGCTCAGTCTATCAGGAGTAATCAAGGTCTGGGAGCATCGCCTTTTAACTGTCTTAAGTTTTAGCAATGCACATTTATGAAGCCATTAGCCACTGGAAATTTCTTATGGGTAGAGGGGTCAGGTAATTTTAATAAGTTTTTATTAAAAATAGAACTGTAGTCACAAACTATCCAGACTAAGAAGTGGAAAGGAAGACTCAAAGTAAGAAACTCAGTTTAAAAAAGAATTTGATTAAATTTAGAGCTCAAGGTAGGACTTGCTCAAAGTTGAGTACTGCATTACTCTGGGAGAAGCCAGAAGGAGTAGAAGTAGCATTAAAAGCTGATGAGAGGGCTGGGGTTGTGGCTCAGTGGCAGAGCTCTTGCCTAGTGTGCGTAAGGAACTGGGTTTGATTCTCAGCACCACGTAAGTAAGTAAATAAATAAAATAAAGGTCCATCAACAACTAAAAAAAAAAAAAAAAGCTGATGAGAGGGGCTGGGGTTGTGGCTCAGTGGCACAGCGCTTGCCTAGCACATATGAGGCACTGGGTTTGATCATCAGCACCTCATAAAAATAAATAAATAAAATAAAGGTACTGTGTTCATCTACAACAACAACAACAACAAAAACCTGATGAGCACCAGGTGTGGTGGTGTATACCGGTAAGTCCAGCTACTTTTGGGGGTAAGGCAGGAGGATCACATGCTCAAGGCCAGTCTAGGCAATTTAGCAATACTTTATCTTTAAAAATAAAAAGAGCTGGGGATATAGCTCGGTGGAGTGCCCTTGGGTTCAATCCCCAGTATTTACAAAAAACAAAAACAAAACAAAACTAAGAAGCATTCCATGTTTCAAATATATTTCAGGTGATTAAAAGTTGCAAATGTTTGGGCTGTGGTTGTGGCTCAGTGGTACAGTGTTTCCCTAGCATGTGTGAGGCATTGGGTTCGATTTTTAGCACTACCTAAAAATCAACAAGTAAAATAAAGTATTGTGCCCAACTACAACAACAACAGCAAAAATTTAAAAAGATTTTTTTTAAAAGGAAAAAAAAATAAAGACATTAGAAGAAAAAATAAATTCTTTCTAGAAATAATATCGAAGTATAAGGGGTATAATACTAAGAATTCATTGAAAATTGATATATTTACTTTAAAATTTTTAAACACTTAATTCAGAGGAAAAACATCATCTCAAGCAAATCCAAATGGAAAGCAATAAATAGCAAAAATTTTAAGTACATGTCAAATAAAATGTATTTTTATCAAATAAAGAGGTCCTATGAACGAATAAGAAAAAAACCAACAATGTAATATAGAAATGGGTAAAGAAGCTTATACTTTTATGCTCTGCTTGGTGGGAATATAAATTAAAATCACTTTTATTAAGGGCACTTTGTAATATCTGTCAAAATTATAGTGAACATATCCTTTGACTCAGCAATTTCCCTTCTGGAGTTTATCTGCCAGATATATTGACATATATGCAAAACGTGTGTGTATACAAATATGTGTGTATTCATAAATAAATACAGTGCAGGCTTTTCAGAGACTAGAAATAAAACAAATATCACTAGAAAAGTGACCAAATCAATAACTGCATATCAATATGTTAGGATGCTATATAGTCATTAAAAATGAAAGTTTAAAATATATTGATATGAACAATCTCAAGATAGGTTATGAAAAAAAGCAAGAGGCAATATTTTCAGAGATCCACACTGAAGTACAGATAGACTGATACAATGGTTAGAATTTGCTTTCTGATATTCTAGCAAAAAAAAAAAAAAAAAGAGAGAGAGAGAGAAGGAATTGAGAGGAGTAGAAGGAGAAAGAAAGAAAAATACATAAAGCATTGTGACAAAGTCCTGATAACTGCTGAGTCTGAGCTGTTGGACATGTGGAGGTTCTCTGAACTAGTCTCTTTATGCATGTTTACCAATTTTCATAATAAAAAGCTGAGAAATTAGGCAAGATGTAGAACAGTATGTATAAAGTGAATTAATTGTATGGAATGTGATTATATCTTAGCAAAGCTGTTATTTTAAAAAAGAAGGTTATGTAGAGTTTGCTACCTTTGGAAGTATATATTTATTCAAAAACAAACAAAAACTAAAACAAAGGGCTGCCTCTATCTAGTGAGGTTCCTTTTGAGTGATAGGGTAGAAATGGTAACTCACTTCCTTGTATGTTTATTCTGCTGTCTTATAAACACAAAATGCAGATGTTTATATTATCTACTCAAAAACAGAAATATGAAAGTTTAAAGTGGATGGAAAAGTATTTCACAGCATTCCAATCATCACAACAAAAACGTAAACATGGTGCCCCCATCCATGCAATGGCTGGAGTCAAGGATTCTCAAGTCAGTGAGAGAAAGACAAGGACAGAAGACTTAGTTACTGTGTTCACAGGGCAATGGAACAATGCCGGTCACTGGTGTGTCCCCTGGGAACCAGCACTGAATGAACACCCTCTAATGGAGCCTTGGCCCCTAGGTAATGGTCAAGTGCCTTCATTCATTAAACTCCAACAGAAACATCCAGTTACTCAAACCAGTATACAACATGACTACATTTTCATGTAGTGAAAAATAAAATCTGTTTTCCTCCCTAAAGGGATTATGATACCTGTGAAGAGACCTGCTGGCTCACTTCAGCCAGAAGTGCAAGGCAGAGGCTGCTCCATGGCAAGTAGGGGAAAGGGCAGCTATTGCTCTATGTGGCAAGGGACATAACTGTGTACCTGACCTTCCAGAGCCTGTGAGTACTGCGAGCTACACACATATTAGTCGTGGGGCTTGTTTGGCTACTTGGATAAACACCCTTTCTAGGTTAATGCCAAAAAAATAACCTCTCTGTTACAATGAATCTCATGACCAAAGTGGACTTCAAAAGGGCATATCTCTGGAATATACTTTTATCTAATTATCAGCCTCCCACTTAATCCCCAAACTGAGGACTTCCAAAAAGTTATGACCTTGACCCATAAGTCAGCAAAATATGCTAGGAATGTTGTAAAGAAGGTGTCTCTTTTGTAATCCCAAAACTCAAAGGCAAGGTTACCACCCACCCATAACAAAGAATGCCTCATATCCTGACGTTCCACTATTCAACAGGGAGGGGCCAGGAAGGGTTTCGAAGTATCTGTATTATTCTATTTCTTGATCTGGGTTGTGGCTATACAGGTTGTGTGTCTGTGAGAAAGTTCATCGAGCTGTACACTTAGAATTTGTGCCCTCTTCTGTGAGTATGTCATATAATTACATACAAACTCCGTTACTGATTTACTATTACTATTTCTCCTATTACCTGTTCCACACCCCAACTTCTTTTTCTTGTCTTCCTGACAGACCTCGGTGAAAGAGAGAGTTGTTCTACTTTACAAATCTTGTATTTCAGAAAAGGGTTCCATTTTGCAGTGTTTCAAGACAATGTTAGTAAAAGCTTTGTCTGTCACCAGCTCCACCCCTTCTTATGCCTGGGGCTCTGGCTAACCTCCGCTGTAGCAAGCTCTCTGTGCTTTGATAGCCCTGTACAATGCTGCTTGAACTCCATGCCACAAGGCAACACTGTAAAGAAGCTGAAAGCAAAGAGAATATCGGACATTGCAAGTGGAAGCATTTTATCTGCAATTATTTGCAAGGATGCCCAAAGCTTTCGCTCACATTTCAGTGAACACAGGGCCAAAATGATGGTTAGAGAGGCTGCGACATGGGTTGGAATTTTACCATGTTTCCACAGTTTGATGGTTTACCATTTGTCAGCTTGTGTCTGCTTAAAAATATAACACATACTCTTCCCCCTCCCCCAACACACACACCTCCTATTCTCTAAGGTGTAACTATATAATAAAAAGCAGATTTCCCAAGGATCTGCAGTTTCTTAAGAGTCAACAGTTATCACACTATGATAAGTAAAAACACATGGCTTTCCCCAGGTTAAGGCTTTACCTCATTCAGTGCACACATCCGAGCAATGGAGCCAATGTTGTTGGTGATGGTGACCAAGGTGGCCCGGGCGAGGTCTTCCTTGCTGATGGAATCTCGCTTTTCTTTACTCATCATGTTGCCAAAGCTATGTTGGAAATATTAGTGAGAGCGTTCAAAATCATCCTCAGGCAGGATCTGTGCTTCCACCAAGGCACTGTGGAAGGCTCTATGAATCTCTGTTCAAGCTCAATTTACCTGATTTTGCTATCATGGTTTACAAGCAGACAAGATTACAGTATGAATGGCTGGTTGCCCCTTTCTTAATAGGGACAAAGTTGAATGGCTATAATGTAGGGAAATTTTTTAATACCTCTAGATATCTGGACAAGAATGGAACAGAGATAACTGTTGCAGTTTTCCAGAACCTTCTTTCAAAGTTGCCTTATTTTAAGCACAAGCATCAAGGGCTAAACATCTCAGTGTTCATTAAGGACAGGAAATCAAGTGTGAGAACTGATATGATTGATATTTGCACCAGGCTGGTGGGCTGACATTTGAAAAAATAAATGAATGGCCAGGGTGGAGAGGCTGCCTCATGTATAGTCACTACTGCTCCTAGCTACTTAGTCTCTACCTTGATGCTACAGCAGATCCTTGAAGGCCAAATCGTTCATAGTCTCCTCCGTAAATGTCCTTCACCAGCTTATCAACATTGGTGCTGTCGCCTTTAGCTGCCATTTCCAGAGCTTCTTCAAAGGTCTCACAACCAGTCAGCAAGCAACATAGGCCTAGGAATGTTCCACCTCCAAGACTGAAGGAACAATAAGGTTTATTTTTAAATTTTACTTGAAGTTATGCCCATCCGAGTCCCCAACTACATCAAGACTATTAATATGGGTTAAGAAAAACAGAAGCAAAGGGGCACTTTATTTGAAAACAAAAGGGCATTTAAAGAACTAGAGTACAAAAGAACTCTTATAGATTGGGTCAGAAAAGACGGCAGAGGCTAACATTAAACATAAGGGAAAACTTGCCCCTAAATTTGCGAACAAAACTAGAGATAGACTCTCACTGATTTCTGTTGTGAGACCTTCAACCAGCCACTAACCTAAGCTCTTCATTCAGTCTTTCCACCTGTGAAATGGAACCTCTTCTAATTGGGTGGTCTGAAAGCAACAAATAACTGATATTTTAAAACCATATGCAGCTGAGTACAAACATTTTGAAAGAGAAATAGTGAATATATAATTCCCAACTAACTATGGAACTAAACTCTCGAATGACAAAACTGACCTAGGACTCAGCAGGAGCCATCAGCCTGAAGGCTCTCTTTCACCTGACATTGCTTCCCTAGCAAAGAAAATCTCATTCCACCTTCTTAGATCTATAGATCTATCTGATATTAAAGTTGTTTTCCCTGGTAGACTTTGGATATTTGGTTACTGATATTTTACTTATTACCCAAGGCTAAAAACCAGTCACAAAGGTCACAAAATCATTCCAATGCTTCAATTATGTTTTGAAAGCTTTCAATCATTTGGGGAAACACTCCTCTAAGATAGTCTTTTTAGACAAAATTAGACACTAATTATAGTAGGAGAGGACAAACTCAAATGTGCATTAATATCAAAGTTACCTCCTGGAAAGAAAAGCAGATTCTGGGTAAAGCTACCATCAGGGAACTCCTAGCAGGAAAAGGAGTTCGTTTCTAAATGGTTAAGTCTAAGTTTTACTCTTCATTTATTATGTGAAAAAATAAACATGAGAGAGCTGCTTATATCAATTGGTTCAGAAGCCCCCTCAAAGCCACTAGCTCTGGGAACCCAATTTATATTTTTGCACTAGCTTTTAATTCTAAGGAAAAAAATAAGTTAGCATTAAAGTTATTTATTTATTTATTTATTTTTGGTACTGGGGATCAAATCTAGAGATGTTCTATCTATAAGCTGTATCTCCAACCTTTTTATTTGATTTTTTGAGACAGAGTTTTATTAAGTTGCTGAGGCTGGCCTCAACTTGAGACCTTCCTTCTTCCCTCAGCCTCCTGAGTTGCTGGGATTACAGGTATGTGCCAAGAGGCCTGGTTGGAGTTAAGGTTATTTTTACCTTAAATTTTAAAGAAGAAAATTCAAGGTTAATGACATTCACTGTCAATAACTGCTAACAAGAAGGTACAAGATTGAAGAATAGGCACATAGTTCTTTAAACTGCATCTAAAGCAAAACTGTGTAATATTCTTAAATTGTGATTCTTAAAAAAAAAATGCAAGTTTGGAGAAATTATGGGTTCTTTTCCATGGAGAATGATGTAGCTAAGCACCACTAGTAGTAATAGAAATTTAGGACTTCCTCTAAGAGAGTGTGTCGTCATTTGCATATAATATGGTGTGTCATGTTATATTGTTGGTTTCAGCCTATCTTAGAAAGCTAGTGTGGGTATTTTGTCTTTGCTTTTTTTTTTTTTTTTTGTGATGCTGTGAAGTGAACCCAGGGCCTCAGGCATATCAGGCAAGTGATCTACCACTGAGCTACATCCCAGCCCTGCTACTGGTTAGGTTCTTGTTTGTTTCCGGTACCAGGGATTGAACCCAGGGATGCTTAACCACTGAGTCACATCCCAAGCCCTTTTTTGTTTTTCATTTTGATACAAGACCTCACTAAGTTGCCCAGGCTGGCTCTGAACTTGCAATTCTCCTGCCTCAGCCTCCCAAGCCACGGGGATTACAGGTGTGTGCTACCACGTCTGGCCACTGGTGTATTTTAATGAAATATTTTTTGGTTTGTGAGTCATCTGGACTTGTTTTGTTTTCTCCCTATATATTTTGAAAAAGAAGTTCTTTGCTCACATTTCTAGATTCTCACTACCTTTTGTCCTTAAGAATCTTTCTTCAAATATTAGGGATTCATTTTAATTAAGGCATTGAACAACCTCCTCCAAATGTAGGCAACTGAAGACATTGGCTGACTTAGAAAGAAGGTAACTCATCAACGGATGTGTTGGTAAAAGTGAAAAAGGGCAAATACGACTGGAAAATGGCAGGTGACTCCAGATAAAGAGCTTAATGGGGAAAGCATGCATGCATTGGTACAGCTGGTACACTGCAGATAGGAGAGAAGAATGCACAGTCACAGAAGAGCCAAGAGTCTCCTAGCACTTTATTAATATCCTCAACCTGCTAACCATTATTTAATCAAGTGATTTCCTCCCTGACAATCAGATATACCTGTTTGTTCCGGCAGACACACATTAAAATCATCAGTATATCAGAGACAAAAATATGTTGCTAGGAAAAGCCACCAAATACTATCATTATTCACAACAGTGCAAGATTTTTGGGAGAAGTAGAAGAAATCTTCAGTTACTCGTTTCAGTAACCAATTTGTTGATAATTTCAGAACACTGGTCATTAATGAGCATTAGTGTTCATTACCCTTAAAACAGATTCCCAAATGATTAGATAAGATGTACTGCTACTTTTGCCAGTTTTTTAACATTCCTCTTTTAACAGGCTACACATTCTACCAAAATCAACTGTAAAGTACTATTTTTTTCCATTGACTTTCACACTAAACTTGGAGTTGTGTCACTAGAAAAAAATTGCTACTCAGTCTGGGAAAATTACACATAACCAAATTAATCAAGTTTAAAAGAAAAGTGATATCCCGAAATAAATGGCATGGTCTCTGAGAAATGTTTAATGGGAAAACAGAGTATGATACAATAACAAAAACCTAAAGTTACAGCTTTCAGTTCATAAGAAGAGTATTAAAATTTAAAGCTCAAACCATTTGTTTAGATCAGTGATTCCCAAAAGTATGTTCTACATACTGATATTCACTGCTAACTCAAATAGTTTATGTCTGGGGGTTTTGTGACTTGGACCAAAAGAAACCCTTGGCAGAACAACTCTGATGGAACAAGGATCAGAGACCTCACAAACATAAGGTTCCATTCCCCTCTTCCACTACATGTGGCAGCCCCTAAAAGGGCTCCTGTCCCTGAGCAGGTTCCTGTAGCACACTTCCAAAAACACTGATTGAAGAGAGAGCTTACAGGGAAACTTGAACATCCAGACAGTGTATGTTGATATTTGCAGAACACTCATCTTTAATGGATATTTACCAATAACTAGAAGTTATAGGCACTGTTATATGTATAAGAGAAACCAACCATAATTAGCTCCTCAGCAGCTATTTGGGATGACTCAGAACCCTGGAGTCTGTAGACAATGTACCTGACATATAATTCATAAACTGTTAAGTGTTCATCAAGTAAATTGTAAGCATCTGTAATTGTGGAAAATATTTAGTTTGTTCCTTGGACTAGCTGTATGGATTCAATTACTCTTTATAGGAAGAAGACTATAGTCGCTTAAAAATTATAACTTTATCAGATTACTCTCTAAGGTAAAACCAACTCAGCTGAAATATCCATGTGTTTGATATTCCTGACAGTACTAATGAGGCCATGAGGTAAATTTTGATCTTGTGTGACAGAACAAGCTTCTGTATTCTCTCAATGAAAAAATGTATACCTTGTAGCAACTGAGTGACAGAGTCAAAACTATAGACCCAAGTAGGCTTCCGATGGGGGAAGGGGTTTGCAGGGTTCCTCAAAAGCAGCACTAATGACATTTGCGGCTTGATGATTTTTTGCTGTTGGGGGAGCTGCCCAATACAGTGTAGAATTTAGCATACCCCTGACCTCGATTCTACTAGATGTCAGTAGCATCCCACCTCCATTGATGACAACTAAAACATGCCTCCAGACATATCTAACACTGTCTGGAAGAAGCTAAAACTTCCGCTCTTCAGTGGGAAGCCATTGATTTATGCAGAGACATCATAACTCATGAAAGTACATTGGAAAAGCAGAGCCCCTCTCCTAATGGGTGAGTAGTACTGCTAAATTCCAGTGCTGGAAAAGTCTGTAAAAACAGTGTAAGCAGCAACAGCTTCCATGGCAGAAATGAAATGAGAATACTGAGACCCAGAGATTATACCTTCAATTATCAAAAACAAGGGTTTCAATACCATGCCCTGACACATGTTCTACAAGGCACTAGTTCTGTAAATTGTTCCTTAAAAATGAGTTCGGCTGTCCAATAAGTTGGAAGAATTCTTCTTACAAAATCAGTAAGGAAAACCTTTTTAACTTTGTTTATGTTGGGGTTTCTCAAAAATATTTGACAGGAGATCATTTCCCATGTTGAATCCTCATGAACATGAAGCTGAGCTCATCTGTCCTTCACAGGGCCTTGGGGTGGGGGTGTCCTAAAAAACAAGGCACCCTTACCATCTGTGGTTATAGGAGCTATTTTCCTGTCTACTACATTCCAAAATTCCCTGTGAGCTATACTGACTATTCTAGCTTTCAGCCAGAGTATATACCTGAAGTGGGGAGAAAAAATCTTTGTAAACATTGTTTTGTTTGCTGGTTAGAATGGCATATTATTTTAAGCAATTTGCACTGTGCTAGGCACCAATGAGTCCAACAGAAGGTTTCGCTGAAGTTTTCTCTGACCATAGCAAGTGCCCTTCTACCTGACTTCTATTGGGCTATTGTCCTTACCATTCCTTTAGCATTCAATACGTATCATCTTGTTGGCAATCTTCTGCTGGGCACAACCCTCTCCCCTCAATCTGACCACAATTTCCAGAAAGATAAAGAGTGGATTTTATTAACCTTTATAAAAATCACCCTTTCATTCCCTTAACATGTCACTCAATAAGTCCTTTTTGGTTGGCCAAGGAAGCCAAGACATTTCTTTTAAAAACAGATTCAATAAAAATAACCTTTTTATTACACAGTTCATTGAGGAAGAGACCTGGTGTTTAAGCACAGAGAGGTTCTCCTAATGGAAAACATGTTTACCTGGTCCCTGTAACTCTTTTATAGTTGTCCTTGGAGTACACTGCTAGAATGCTGACACCTGAGCCCATGTTAACCAGCAACATAGGGTATGGGTTATCAAGGCAGTATGGCTTTTTTTGACACAATTCAGGATTTGTGGGGTTTTCAAAATAGTAACATTCTGGCTTGCCGTTGAAGCCGACAGAGTCGACGTAAAGCAGACCCTGAATGAGACAGTCCAGTTCATCCAGTTTATGGAGCTGCAGGTCAGCAATCTGAAAGAGAACAAAACCTTGTAAGATACCATGGACCACCTTGGGAGAAGCCCCAAAAGCTTAGCTGGATTTAAGATTGGGTCATTCACTTTAAAAGCAGGGGAACATCCTTGAAACAAGTTGTGAAACTTTGTTGGTATTCAATCAGTCCCTTGGAAAAGCAGCTGTGCTAAAGGACAGGCACATGCCTGGAAAAGCATGTATAGTGGGGTGAATGGTGGTCCCTGTCCATGAACCTGTGAATGTGGTTTGGAAAAACACTCTTTGCAGATGTAATTAAAGAGCTTGAAGAAATCATCCTAAATCATCTGGGTGGGCCAGTGACAAGAGTCCTTGTAAGGGACACACAGGAAAGATGTGAAAGACACACAGGACGAGGTCACGAGAAGATGAAGACAGGATTTGAGAGCTGACACCAGACACTGGAAGAAGCAAGGCATGGAATCCCCCCAAGAGCCTCTGAAGGAGGTGCAGCCTCAAGAACTATGAGCAGGCTGTGATACAGTGGCACGCACCTGTAATCCCAGCAACTTAGGAGGCCAAGGCACAAGGATCACAAGTTCAAAGCCAGCCTTGGCAACTTAGCAAGACCCTGTCTCAAAATAAAATAAAAGAGGCAGGGTCCAGCTCAGTGGTAGAGGGTCTCTGGCTTCAATTCCTATTACCATCAAAACAAAACAAAAACAAAAAATCCTATGAGAAAAAAAAATCTAATATTTTAAATCACCAAGTTTGTGGTCATTTGTTAAGAAAGGCCATGGAAAATACATGCCATCAAGTGAGAACATTCAGAAAGTAATGAGAATCCTACACTTCCTTGCCTAAGAACTGGTGAAAATCTCCTGAGCTCACAAAGCAGAGCTACCCTTTTCCCAGACCTGGGCTCTGGAGTTAGAGAGATCTGACTTTGAATTCTTGCTCTAAAACTGACTTAGCTAAAGGATATAAGGTGAATTATTTGACTTCTCAGTCTCCTTACCTGTAAAATGGGAATAAAAATGTTGCTGTAAAGATTATATGATAATAATATATGTGATGTGTTTACCCAGGGGTTGGCACATACAAAGGGCTTATCAGCTGGAGTGGCCAGAGTGGCCTTTAATGTTCCTATAAGATAAAAACGCCTACTCTCTTAGGTATGGGGGGTGGGGTGGGGGATGGGAGGGGGTGTTAAGGACAACATGCTGACTGCGGACTAGCATTGGAAGCTAGTGGCCACTTTGCATCCTCAAAAGTTTAATTCATTATCCTTAAGAGTATACCACTGGCCCAGAGATTTGGGTTGATAATCATTTTCCATGGCCAGAAAAAAATCAAACAAAAATTAGTGATTAACAATTGCCAACATGAAACTCTACGAAATTCTCACAAAAAAAACCCCTGTAAGTAGGTATTTTTAACCTTATTACATAGTTAAGTTTCATGGTGCCTAAGTGACACAACTAGCAAATACCTACCGGTGACTCCCTGTTCTGTTGTCTTCATTGCCATAATGGATATTGTTTCTGGGGTCTGGAAACAACCTATACAAGAACTAGACTTAGATATTTTGCCAGAAAAGATATCATCTTCATTACAATAGTTAGCAAGAAGAAAACTTTTCACTTGGTGTTACTCATCTGAGGTTTCTATTTAACAAAAATTGGCTGAATCTATACCTGCAAAGAACTAGAATAGGTTACCAGCAAGGTGGTAGATTATTCTGTTTTTTTTTTTTTTTCTTTTTCCTGCAGTGCTAGAGATTAAACCCAGAACTTCGTGTATGCTAATCAAATACTCTATCACTGAGCTACACCCCCAGACCCTGAAAGTATCCTTGATACATGGAAATAAAGATTCTAAATGACCACTGGTGATAAAGTCAATATAGCTCATAAATGGTTCCAAACATTTCATTTTTTTATCAAGTCAAATATTCGAATGAGATGCATATAATTACAGATATATTAAGAGGGCATTTCTATTGGTATAGAATTATCTGGAGCCCTGAAAGAGTATAGTGGGACACAACAGGGTAAATAATATCTCCTCTATTTTCCTCAAGTCCGCAGCCTTCCATTGTATTTACAACATTGGTCATAATCTGGCTGTTTTTTTAGATTCCTCAGCACTTGGCTCAAAGGCCTGCCCCTAATCATTACTTAATAAGCATATATTAAATGGATCAGGGAAAGTTATCACCTCATGGATCACTCCAAGCTGGAAAGTAGCTATTTCATCAGTCAGTCTGGGGACCATAGGCTAACCTGCTTAAAAATTAATCAGAGGTTCATCAACAATATTGACAGCCAAGCCCAGAACCAACATCATGAACACAGACAGAGTCCATCCAGCTGGACAGTTTGAAACTACATCGGGCAGAAAAAGAAAAGCCTATCAAGGCAAATAATCTAAGCATATACAATGTCAATCTGAAAGGAAACTTTGTTATCTCACCTTTCCCCTCAAAATCATTTTCAAATAAAGTGCTAGTAGCAAACATCTCTTCTATACATTTTACTGAGGGATGGATATATTCTGGAGCCTGAGGTCACACAGCCCTGTTTGACTAATAGGAAACAGAGATATTAGTCACTTTCTTAGAGAACTATAGGAAAAAAGATGGGCTCCCAGCTTCAGGTAATGAGTCAAATTGCTACTTTACTTTTCAAATAGGCCATCTGAAATTCAAAACCAGGTGGGAATTAATCAGACTTTGCAGTTTGTTGGTAAACCTGAATTAATTTTGTGGAAGGCTTAAAACAGGCACTTAAGATTTCATCTAAGGAGAAACACTCTTTTTTTTAAAAAATATTTTTTTAGTTATACATGGGCACAATATCTTTATTTTGTTTTTTTCTGTGGTGCTGAGGATCAAACCCAGGGTCTCACATGTGAGAGGCGAGTGCTCTACCGCTGAGCCACAACCCCAGCCCCAAGAAACACTCTTTCTAGGCAGTTTTCTTTATATTAGGAATCACAAACTCAAATACCTAAAGGAGGAAGTAAGAAAATAGAAGCTGAGCATGGTGGCACACCTCTGTAATCCCAGTGACTCAGGAAGCTGAGACAGGAGGATCGAAAGTTCAAAGGCAGCCTCAGCAATTTAGCTAGGCCCTAGGAAACTTAGTGAGACCCTGTCTCAAAACATAAAAAGTGCTGGGGATGTGGTTAAGTGCCTCTGGGTTCAATCTCTAGTACAAAAAAAAAAAAAAAAAAGAATGAGCAAAGCCCTGGTCTACATGGAAGTAACTGAGTAATGGGAACTGTGTCACCAAAACGATCTGCATGTATTTACAAGTCACTTCCAGCTCATTGTTGCTATGTGGTAATGGGCCCCAGTGCTGCCAGATGACCCTATTTTGCAAGAACCAGAAATCCAGATTTTATGTGAAACCTTTTAATATTTAAATGTTGGTGGTAAATTTTATAGTTTTGTTTTCCTATTGCAGACCAACAAAACACACTGCTTTTAGTCCATATCACCAATTTTATATACAGTTGCTATGGCTTGGATGTTGTTTGTTCCCCAGGGATCTATGTGTTGGGAGCATGGTCTCCAGTGTGGTGATGTAGGAGTTGATGGACCCTTTAACAGGTGGGTGCTAAAAAAATAGAGGTGTGGCCTAGTGAGAGGTCTTAGGGTGCTATCCTAAGGAGGGGATACTTAGTCTCCTGGGGTGAGTTCTCATCAGAGCAAGTTGTTATAAAAGACTAAACCTGACCCTTGAGTTTCTCTCCTCTTTCGAAATATGACCCTCTCCATTCATCAGGTGGTGGTCTCCAGAACCTGTGTTTTGCTGTTTGACTTTCAGCCTCCAAAACTGCAGTCTACCTCTTTTCTTTATAAAGTTAGGCTGTCTTAGGTATTTTGTAATGGTAACAAAATACTTACTAATACAAGTGATGCATAGCTTAATGAGGAGTATGCATTCTAAGAAATACCTTGTTAGGTGATTTCATCATGAGCAAACATCATAAAATTATATAAACTAATATAGCTACAACATCCCTAAATGATAAAATCCATGGGACCACTTTCATATATGTGGTCTACTATTGAACAAAATGATCTTAAGAGGTCATAACTGTATATATTCCAATGTTTATCTTTATAATGGGACTTAACTGATGACAAATCTGAAATATCAGATCCAGTAAACATGTAGGTAAAGCTTCTACTAATTTGAACATAACCCTGTAACCAAGATTTGCTGATTTATGTTAACAACCAGCTTCCTGGGGAAAAAAGCCTTGGTTTGTAGCAATTACTAATTTCTGTGGTGTAATTACCCTCACCATGGCCAATTTCAAGCTTCTAACTTGCTGTCACAAACACAGAGTACAGAAGAGATGTCCACCAGTATATAAGTTTGAGAGGGGCTGGCAGGGGTTTTGTTTCTTTTAAGCCAGCAGGAGCAGGCTCCAGCTCCCCACTGCTTGTAACTCTTAGCTCTTTTAGAGAGTTCTGTGAATGCCCAAATTTGTAAGTTAAATTTAAATTACTATCCACAAACTTAAAAACAGCAAACCTGCCCTAAGACTCAAATTCTATGTAAGGAACAGAAGCTAATTGAGAAGTGTATAGATCCCATCTGGAGGACTTTATGAAGGAAGAGACTCTTATTACCTATTATTCAGACAAAATATGTCACTGGGGTCCAGCAGGTTAAGTGACCTACTTAGGATCCCAAAGCTAACAAGAGGAAGAGATAAGGTACAAAACACCTTCAAACTATGATTAGAAACTAACATTGTATAGTTAGTTACAGCAGGCTCTCAAACTTAACATGCAACAGAATCACTAGACGGTTTGTTAAAACACAGGTTGCTGGGCCACTCCCCTAGAATTTCTAATTGCATTTCTAGCCACATTCTAGGTGATACTGATGCTATTGGTGTTGGGACCACAATTTGAGAACGAGTGAGATAGGAGGAGGAGTACCATATTTGGCTGAAGAGCCGAGACTGAGTCCTTTACCAACCCAGGTACAGATATTTAACCAAATTACATACTCTTC